TCGTGGTGGGGCACAGCATTGGTACACCATACATGAGTAATAGGTAACCTCTGATAAAAATGAATGGGTGAAAACCAGAAAGGTGTGACATTTTATAAATTCTGAGAAAAACAGGTTTATTTTGGGCTATATTTCTGTGGCAATGTATTTTGGTGATTTTAATGAACTATTAAAATTCTGTGGTTTTAATGATGAAACAAAGCACCATGACTTATACAGATTTTTAAGAATACCGTTCTGGTTCTCACCCATTCAAATATTACATGGAAGAAACCTTAGGAGGTGGTGATAAGGTTGGGAAATAAATAGAATTATGGCAAGTCCCTGAAAGCAACACCAAGCCTATGAGGTCAATAAATAAGGTTTCAAAAATAGCAGTTTTGAGGATAAAAAGATACCTGAAATTGAACTTGTCATCATCATTCTAAAGGCAAAAAGTGCTATGTTGCTATTGCCATGGCATTCTATTCTGCACTGATCTCTTCATCTCTGTATAGTTTTAACTCAATTTATCTAAAAAGGGAAAATGAATTTCAAAGGATGTAGACAATCCTCAAATTTTGTTTTTTCTAAGAAACATGAATACGAAGAAGAATTTAAAAAAAAAATGCGTTCTAAACAATTTGGTGATGACTGGGATAACTTGAAGAACTTGCTTGACATAAAGTCATTAATATAAGCTAGAACAGTAGTAGATGTCCCCAATGTTTTGCTCAAAATAAAGAGAAAGTGTGTCAATGCATTTAAGAAAAAGTTGCAAAAATACTGGTTGAAGATGTTCAGTTTGCATTTAGTGCAGAAGCCTGTTAAGTTTTTGATTGACAATTTGATGAGTATTAAAGCATTCAGTGGTGCCATCTAAATTATTTTATGAACTCTAGGCATAAATGTTTCTAGAAGGACCATATCAAAATTCAATATTTCCTTAATTGTCAGGCAAAATGAACTTGTTTCCCATGGTGTGACACAAAGGGTTTTGATCATACATAATAGAAAATAGGAACCAATCATGAAATAACAACCAAATCCAGAAAATAGAAGAGCAGAATACAGAAACCATGTTTAAAGGCAATTGTTTGGAGCATTCTGCTTTTGCTTGTACTGATGGGTGTGACATGAGAAATCCTGAGAATGAAAAATCTGTGACTAATTTGTTCTTTATCATCATGATCATCATGAATGTTTAAGGCTTAGATCTGTTGACCTGTTCCATGCTTTATCAGTCGCTTTCTAGGTGTATTTGATCTTCACAGCACATTCTTGGTCTGCCAGGGTCTCTTCTTCCTCACATCCACGGAAGTGACAGGCGCTTATGGGATAGTGCATGAAAAATCCGGAAGGTACTAAAGGAACAGAGAGAGATACACTTAAGGAATAGCAAACTATTTTTAACAAAAGTTTTAAAAGAGCCAAAAAAGTGGAGATGTGACACATCACTCATCCGTTGAGCCAACGCCACTGCGTATTGCTTATTCCGATCTGGAAACCCCCTCAAGCTGATGTGTCAGAGCTGGTAAGTGCCAATCTCACCATCCAGTGAGTGACGAATGTCATCAGCTAAAAAAATAACACGTTCACTACAATAACGGGGCTAATAACAAAAGCATGTGCGTGATCTGGGCTGTCCTGGTGACACCGCGTCGAAGGCTGTGTTGCCGACGTTTCGACCATCTTATCGTGGTCTTCCTCAGGGCTGGTATGCTTGACTTAATAACAAAAGCAGTTGACTGGTAGCAGGGCTGATATGCTTGACTTAATAACAAAAGCAGTTGACTTCAGTTGACAGTGTCTCGAGTCATCAATCATATGAAACCTTCAAACTTTACCGTCTGAGGCAGTCTTTCTCTACTGAAATTACCTAGTCAGAGAAATTTGAAAGACAGCATGAACTTCTACGTATTACGGTGAAGGATCACCATTAAGGGGACTAATGACCTATGTACAGTGCAACTGAAAAATTCTGCTCTGCCGCCGTGACGTCACTCACCAGGACAAGAACTTAATTCCTCTGCCTACGAAAGCGTTTTAAGGCCAAGTCCCGCAAAAGTTACACTTTCCAGTCCTGTTAAATAGCCGGTTTGCTATGCCTTTCTCAAAAAGATAGTGTTTGCGTATGATACGTACAAAAAATGTGCAAAATGTGTAAAATGTGCATCGTATCTTGGAACCTTTCTTTGAAATGTTGACAAATGAATTGCGATATTACAGTAATTTTCAACAGGACTCCGCCTCCGCACACACTGCTTGTTTCCTTAGAAGTTTACATGGCGTTTATGGAGACAGAATTATTTCACGAGGTTTGTAGCCGGCATGTTCTCCTGTTCTAACTCCCTGGGATTTCTTTCTTTGGGGAATTTTAAAGTTCACGTACGAATCGTTCCACGTCTAATCGCACATACAAAAATCACAATTTTGTTTATAAGATCTGGGTTTGAAAATTGGTGACATATTTTTTTCTTTTTTTCTAATCCCACCTCTTTCAGAAATATAATCAAATATTTTTTCCGAAGAATCATGCACGCGCTGTTTAATTTTTTTTTTCTGGCAAATACCGTCTCCTTCAGGAAAATAAAATTACACTTAAATTTAACTTAAAGATGTATTTTAATTTGATATAAATATAATTTTTGCAAACATATTATTTAAATATTGTTAATTAAATATGTTTTATTTTTTAAAATACAAACTTTTACATTAGATCAACACTTCAATTAATTGTAAAAACTAATCATGTATTTCTGTACTAATGTTGTATAGATCTGCCAAATTTCAAAGTGGGAAATGAATAAAGAATTTTTGAAAAAATAGTTTGTTCATCGGAGCACGTAGGCAACACGCTGCCCGCCGGACTTGCTGCCCGAACTGGAACATTTTCGCCCCACATTCGGCTAATCTCGATTTTCAAAGACTTGTACAGTATTTAAGACGTTTCTCTGCCTTCTTTGTTACGACGTTTTGATCGTAAGGCACAGCATCATCTACAAGTAGATACAATTTTTTTTCCAAATCCCGGATAACAATTTCTGGTTTGTTTGCTTCTATAATGCGATCCGTTTGAATTTGTTGGTCGTACAATTTTGTATAGAGTCCAGCAGAAGTCACCGGTTTTGGTGAGTGTTCGTACCACTTGGGGCATATGTTTGGAACTTAGAGGGTGGTGCAGATCAGCCAGAGGAGATAACCTGTCGTGTCTTTTCAAGTATTATGCCTTTGCTAGAATTGGACAAGCTGAGAAGAATATGATCAACGGTTTCTACTTGTTCCTGGCAGATACGGCATTTGCCATCTTGGGAAATTTTGAGAAGCGCTTTATCATAACGTCGTGATCTCAATGCCTGATCCTGAACAGCAGCAGAACTGCTTCCGATTCTGGCTTCATTCTTCCCCTTTAAGCCTCATAAATTATTGATCTTTATTGATCTGCACATTGTCCATTCTTTTTAGATATTGTCCCTGGAGTGGTTTGTCTCTCCACAACTTCTTTAACATTTTTTTGTGTCTCACATTTCATGTCTAGTAGCATCAGAAGTTTAGTGACTGTGTTATTTTGCGTGCCTTGAATAGTTTTCTTTGCAATGCTTCTTGCTACACTAACAATTCCTCTGTTTCCCATTCTTCGGTCAGATTTCATGACCTGCCTCATTAGAGGGTCATATTAATGACTGACTACATGCTTTCCCATCCCGACTATTGCATTGTGCCAGAAGGCTTCAATTTGTCTAAGTCCTCTTCCTTCTTCCTTACGTGACATAAAGTCTATGAACATCAGCTTGAGGGTGGACGACATGATGCATTGATAACAGTTTTCTGTTTTTTCCATCCATGATTCGAAATTCTTGCTCAGTCCAGTCCACGAGTCAAACTACCAATTGCAGATTTTATATTCCTGGAGTTCAGGGCGGACTGCAGGATGAGTCTCACTTTTCTGTAATACTCACTACGAATTCTCTCTTTTAGTATGTCTTTCGAGGTGGTCTCACATTCTTAAATGCCCAGATACTTTTAAGCTCAAGATCTTGAATTTCAGTGTGCGTATCAACTTCAATGCTCTCTGACGACAATTTTCCTCTCCTTAAATTGATTTTTGCACTCTTATCAAGACCAAACTTCATGCAGATGTCATTACTATACTCATTCACGACAGACAGCAATTGGAAGAGAATCGCGTCTCTTTGTTTCCCCGCTGTTTCCATAAGTTTATCGTCTTTCGTCTTCGTCTTTCGTCTCCGTCTTCGTCTTCCGTCTTTCGTCTTTCGTCTTTCGTCTTTCGTTCCCTTTTCCCTTTTTCCCTTTTCCCCCCTTTTCCCCCTTTTCCCCCCTTTTCCCCGGCTTCTTTCCCCTTTTTTCCTTTCTTGCTTCCCTCTATCTTTCCCTTTCGCCCTTTTTCCCCCCTTTTTTCCCCCTTTTTTCCCCTTTTTTCCATTCTCCCTCTCACCCCTTCTTTCGATCCCTCAATTCTTCCTTTTTCTCTTTCATTTCTTGTCCCTGTATCCTTTTTTCCCCAGTTTTTGTTCCCCTTTTTTATACCCCTTGTTTCCTTTTTCCCCTTTTTTCCCCACCTTTTTTCTCGCCTTTCTTCCGGCCTCCTTTTCCGCCTTTTTCCATTCGGACCAACATTTTTCCCTGGCGCATTTTCTCCCCTTTTTCCATTACGTAGCTTTTTTTCCCCCTTTTCTCCGGGCCCTTATTTCCCCCTTC